GTTTAATGTAATTTTTCTGTACAGCTTGTAATTTTTTTATTATTATAAAAACGTAAATTTTGTGACTTTTAATTACTTTTTTTTTAACAATTAAGGGAAAAATTAAGGTTTAATTGTTTGTCATTTTTATATTTTTCACTATTCGACTATAGTTTACTAGTCCACTAACCACTACTAACCCCACCATGAAGTGCTATTATTGAATTCTTCAATCAAGCCAACAATGAGTTATTATGTATCCCACCATTGTGCTTAATGTAATTATTTTTCTTACAGGTTGTACAAATCAAATAAATATAACAAAAATATTTTTCATCAGTCAAATAATTGAATTTTACTTATATGTCTAGCATGACAAATTTTTGAATTATTCTTTATAGATTAAAAATTTAAAACCAATTTTAAAATTGAATTCAAAACAACGTAAGTTTGTACTTTAAAAACTGTAGTTTTATGAGTTTTGTTAAAGTATTTAGATCGACTAATATAAAATTTGAACGGAATTTTTTTTACTTGTTAAGGCATTTTTATAGGTTTAGTAGGGCATATAGGTGATTGACAAAAAATCGAATGGATACGTGCAGACATGCTTACTTTTCAATCTTTTTGTGGTGCACATAGCGCAACAGCCCGTCGCACATCTTCCACAGCTCTAAAATGTCCACAGAGTCCAATTGGCATGCTTGCAAATAGGCTTTGAACATTTGTATGGCCGTCTGATTGGCCAAAACGTGTTTCAGACTGTTTGTCCATCTGTCCAAGTCGTCTTTGGACACGGMACTACAGGGATCTACACAAGGGACGCAACTCATAATGACCCAGTTTTTAAGACATTAGACAATTACCTGTAAATAAGAAATTACATATTATTTTTAGAAGCATACAAAAACTAGTTGGTACTTAGTTAAAATACAAATTGGTTTTTTATAGATTTGAAATTCGAACGCATCATTAACAGTTYTAGCTACATTTAAATTATTAAAATTTAAAAATGTATGCCAATGATCAAACGGTCGAGGTCGAGTATTAATTGAAAACGARCATTATACAATATATTTACTGATTACTGACAGGCGATAATAAAATTTGGAAATATTTTTTCATTAGTAAAAAAATATATAAAACATCAATAACTCTATGATCCGACGAGTAGTCCGAAGWAATCTCACGTAAAAASTAAGATAATATTATTTTGTTTTTTTAGTTACATCATAATAATATTATTAATGCACTTAATGCGGCCTTCTAATTTCAAAAATAAAAATCATCATGTWGTAATTACTAACTAGTATAAGTTGTGTTTGGTTAATATGGTACCTAAATGGGCTAAATGTTAAAATACCGTCACAACTCACTACGTCACAGGTATAGGACTATCGATTTCGTTATTTTTTTCTTTAGTACGATAGCATACACGTACTACATAATTCATAGGTACCTTAGAGTTGTTATCTAATTAATTGGTAATTTATTACTCRTAATTTTTATCAACGCATTATTTATAAATACGACTGAAGAAGTAGAAAGAACCATTTAATACGTTTTATAGAATGTCATAAATTATAAAGGTAGTTAATAATCTAATTAAATTGTATTGATAGTATGGTATTATTATTGTAGCTATTGCAGACATAATTTATACCAATATATTATTTAATATCAGTAATTTCATATTTTATTTAATATGTTTGTAAATATTATGAAATTCTAGTATTATTAYCTAATTTTAATCGATAAAAGAATAAAACTAAATTCAAAATTGTTTATTATGTGAAAATCAAATAATTAATTTCCATGTTAAGTTAAGAGCCTCTTTGATTTTAAAATAATAAATTTTCACTAAAAATAAGCCCATACAAGAAAAAAATCTTATTTTTAAAGTAAACCTAATTTCTATGGCATGTACAATTTTAAATTTACATAAACTAAATATTCCAWAAGTTAAATTAGGTACATCGGCGTAACTAGAAGATTTGGACCGATCTAAACCCCTTCTAATCCCAGAAATATTAATTCAAATTATTAACGTTCTATTTATAAGTAAATKTATGATGTGTGAGTGTGAGACGATTGGACAAAGTTATTATAACTGTGTGTGYCATCAATGTTATTTGTCATCATGGCTGTAGCCTGTATATATTGTAAATATTATAGCTGATAACCAGATAACAGCGATAACGAATTTAAAAGAATCAAAATTTGAGTRCTTTGTCGTCTCCACTTTATGTTTTCGTTTGTATGGAACATTTAGAATTATAATAACTAGCCAACTAGGTWTTATCTTAATATACCAGYGGACGGTTAAGTTATCTTACAAAGTGCGAACCTATATTATTATTTATTACCTATAATATACCTATATTAATATATCTTATAATATCTCATATCTCTATAATAATATATACTCTATACCATCATCCCCAACCAAAAATAAATACTAATTATTATAATTTGAATTCATTACCTTATGTTTCAACTTTTAACCGTTTGAAACAGTTTTTGTTGGTTTCTATTAAAATATACTGTATAATAAGTACATCATACATTTACTGATAAATAAGACAAAATAATTGTGTTTAAACATAATACATAAAGTACTTCGATAATGCACGTTATATAAATAAACGAAGAAATTATGCGATATTATAAATTTATAAAGATAGGTAGGTGTGTAGTGTGTACTATGTACTAACTCCATACGAGTTTTATGCAAAATAGTAAATACGGCATCAAGCCAATATTTTATATTTTTGTTTTATAAACATGGTACAAAATTTATTTTTGGCCAGTAATTATAATATGCCATCTTCCGTCATTTTGTGTATTACCACTACTACCCCATTATATTATTATAATATTTATACTTTATACACAAATGAGTACATATAGATTATGCGGCGTTCTACAAGATATTATTATATTATAATTATATCAATATTGTCAAAATTACTGATAAATATTTTTATATCTCACTATTATATAAAAAGTTGTTAATTATATCTTCTATGTATATCTAAATTGATTAATTTTCGTGGCAACTGAAAAATAAATAAAAAATTATTAATATTAATGAAAAATACTTTAAACTCAAAACTCTCTATTATTCGAATATAGTGTTTTATATTTTATCTTCCACATATTTTGTTTTTAAATATTTTAAACAAATATTAAATTTAAAAATTCAAAACGGTCGTCCCTTGATTCAAAGTGAAGAAAACCCAGGGGGCTTGAGAGAGAAGCGAGCAGCGGGCAGGGGCTCTCAGTACCTAAAACCTATATATCATAATGTTATGGTGAAAATTAAAATTAAAAATATTAATATACACTATGCAGATTCGAACTATAAGGTACTTACCTATAATAAATATAWTATATAAGGTATATTGGTTATTGTTGATGCATATATCCATTTTTAACTTAMATAGAWAGAAATATATTATAACTAGGCATAAACTAAAAATGTACATGATACTGATAGTGTATCGATTCATAACCTAAAAATTGTATGTACTTATTATAATATAATAATAATATAACGTATTAACGTATAATATACCCATACATATTTTACGGTAGACCACAAAAAATGCACACGTAGGTACTTATCATAACGTCGGAAAAGCATAATATTTTTGTTACAATTATAATACATGTTATTTTCGGTAGACCGCGTACTGGTTATCTAACCACAACCAAACTTAGATCTTTAATTCAAGTTTCATCGTACATATTCATACTGGATATAATATTAAATGCAWAAGCAGTATTGCATCAGCAATATTTTGGAAGTAAATAATAATATATCGACTCAATTTGCTTGTCAACTTTATTGTATACATATATTACATTAAWATTATACAATAGTTTATAATAGTATAGTTAGAAATGTTTCGGGCGAGGAAGAATTTTATGGCACGAATACAAAAAATGATTTAACCATAATAATATTATGTTTATTCTTGATATTATGTTCTATAAAATAATTTAAATAATTAATTACTAATTCGAGGCAATTGTCTGGGTGTATAGTGTATACCTATATGTCGTTATGTTTTTAAGCTCGTTGTTACGTTGTTTAATGATGAAAGTCGTCTTGAAATAATTCACTGTACAGTTACTATATATAGTTCTGTGCTAAATTTACCTATCACACGAATCCGTCATTTGCCCGAGTTTGGCGCAAAAAACATGAAGACTAATCGTCTTTTGTAAGGCTGAATAGGCTGATGTTTAACGAATGACGAYTATGTTATAGACTATAGGTAAGATAAATAATATATTATATAATTAATATACCTATACTTATTGTATGATAAAAATTATGTTTTGTCGAATAGGTATGAAAGCAAAAACAATAACAGTTCAAAACRGACAAAACATTCTAAGGGCGAGTGTTAACAATAAAATGGACAATTGGACAATTAATACCCAATAAAGAATAATTTGTAGTTTTCACAATATTACGAGATGACTATTGGTGATTGGTGTGATTTGTAATCATGGACATTTCTGTGTTATATTTAAAATTTAATCACCATTTGGGCGACGCAGCGATGACAAATTAAGAAGATCACGTAAATATAAGAACACTACAAACACAAACGGCGTGAACGGAAAATCGTCATCGAACGACACCGAAACGCAAGCTGCCAATATAATATAGTGTATATAGCCATATAGGTACAGTATACATCATTAACATTATTATACACGATTCACCTGCTTCAGAAGTATGAACCAGACATATGTATACGGGTCAGGTGCAACGCGCGAAATGATTGTTTTATTAGAATGCCATGATAATAATATATTATAGGAGCAACGATAATCTAAATAATAACGCCTTACATGTACAGKGCGATTCTTTCATCGCAAATTTGCGATTATCTGCTGTGCCATTTTTTAGTTGATATTCTTTTTTAAACTGGTTAATATTATAATTTACAAGTTAACTATACAATATACCAATAATGAATACATAATGATAAAAAATATTTAAATATACATATAAATAACGTAATATTATTCTATTATTATTTTCCGAGCGGAATGTTATAGTGTTTATACTGAAAATATATTAATTTTCATAAARTTAAACGTTGGAGTAGGGTGAATTCAGGGTGAGTTTTATCATTCACTGAAAGGGTGGATGAGTAGGTACAATTGAACTTTAAAATTTAAACTACAACTACCTGTCTGTATTTTATACCCAAGTATCTAACCATTCTAACCATTCCAATATCTTCAATTTTTATATAAAGAAATGTTATTTAGATAGTAAATATAAAAAAATAAAAGGTTTCAATAAGAAACTGAAAAATAATTTTTTTAATATAACTTTGTATAAGTAATATAAATTAACACTTGATTTTCATTAAGAACGAATAACCTATGTATACTTCTTCACGAGGACAGGGTAGAATTAAATAAATTATTTAATAGTTTAAATCGTCGTTACACAATATATACATATATCAATTATATTCTAACATTAAAGTAGATAATGAAACGGAACAAACAAATCCAGATTTAAACCCATTTAGAATAAAAATCATCGATGATAACCTAGCATTTATTTATATTTCATAAGATTTACGGCTCAGTTAAAGTATATATTAATATTCCTTTATTTAAAAAAATCTAAGCTTCGGAACAGTGGAGGGGACGATTWCTAGGTAAAAGAACGGGATCATGACTACAAAAAATGTTAATTTTAAATTAGCTTAAATTTAAAATGGTTTAGGTGCGTCTAAACATAAATTATTCCATATATAGCGACTGTTCAGAAACCAAAAATTTTAAGACAATCGCTCTGTGTATTATAAATTATAATGTTATAAAGTGCGCGGTGCACAAGTGCGTTCCATGTGTTTTGAACCCRCCTGTATATTATTATTGTAATTAGGCATTGTGTTCGGACAGAAAACCGTCGCTCTAATTTCGGCGCCGCATTGCTCTATTTCGTTCAGTCATTTATTTTCGTTTTCGAACTAAGGTAAGGTATATAGGTACAATGTATAAGTATATAACATTATTGTTATTATATTCGTGCGCGAGTCTTTTACGGCTCTATACTACTACCGACATGGCATTGACTTCACGGTTCGGCACGCACCGGCATGGCGACGGCCTGTCGACAACGACGTCTCCACTGAACGCACAGTACACCGCCACACAATATTATTTAATGGCCAAAGGAAGGAGTACGAAATGACGAGCATCGCTATAATACGTATAATATTATTATATATTTATTTAGACGTGCGCATAATATTATATCGATGCATTATATTATGTTGTATATAGTTGTACGTCGTGTACACTGTACAGTGTATATATACGATGACGATGACGATATATCTAGGCGACTCTATACGGCGAAAAGAATAGCCCGAGAAGCCGACGAGGGGAAAAAATGATCTATTCGGACGTCGACTTGCCGTCGTCTTTGCGAGCGGTGGTCACGTTTTATATTCGGGACTGCCGGTCGGGCCACGAATAGTATCACGTCTCGAATTTTTCGTGTGTTACGAATCACTAACGCCCGCGGGACCGTATAGCTATCTGTAGGTACGCTATAATAYGAACTGCGACGAGTGACGATACTGCGTGTACGTATAGCTATATATACGACTATAAAACACTGCAGCGACGCCAGCAAGGTGGTAGTGTGATACCTATTCGTCTATAATATAATGCCATGTCGCTGTATAATATATTATCATTTCGTAGTCCTGATGGTTTCATAATATCAGACGACCCGAAACAATGATTGGCGCCGAAAAAAAAACGCACCACGACGCGACCAACACGATCGCCCTATGTTCCGTGACGAACATCGTGAGCCCCGCAGAGTCAACATTATAGACTATATAATATTATAATATAATGTAAACAGTTAKCGCGAGGGTAAAAGGGAGTACAAGTAAATTTGGCCGTTTTTCGATAATCTTGTTATTTTGTAGGAAAAATAATATCCTCTACGAACAACGTGTTGTTATCATTAATATTATTTCATTACGTATGAATAATGAAAAAGACTTAATGACAAAATAAGTCAATACAGATGAAATGAGAAATTTTTTGTTTTCTGATAAGTAATGATTTTACTCATACAGTCATACCCAAAATTATAAAAAAAAAACCACCATCGTTGTTATATATAAGAATACAGTCATGATAAATTTTTATCAGAAGTTTTTTCAACGAACTAGTTGTCTAGATATTTAGTTTTTTAGTCAATGCACATCAAATACTGAAATCGAACGCCACGCGCCGCGTGGATTTCAAAAGCAGCTATACCGGCACGATTATATTATTACGTATTAGATATTATTAAAGCTCCTCGGATTGATCGATTTACTTAATTTTTCTTACAAGCGATTAAAGTGAAAAAAGAAAGAACTTTAGTTCATAGGTATACAAAAAATTTTATTCTGAATCTAGGTTTGTTGGAATTTGAAACCTCTGATCTATATCATAAATTTTTCGATGATCAAATAATATGTCTTAATAAATGCTGCTGTCACCGTGTACCACCTACATATTATTATCTATTTAACCAACCAATGTAGTTAAATAAATTAGGTTAACTTTTGACATGAATTGTAGTAATGTAAAAATAGGATGTATGCGTAATATAAAATAATGCRAATTTACTTTATTTTAACCATATATAATTTTTTATTCACGTTACGTACACGCTCTAGTTTATTCTATATAGGTATATGCACACACACGCATATTATGATATATATAATAAATAAACTTATCTCAATAACTATATTGGTAACTACATCATAACATTTTTATTTATAAGTTTAGTTATTATACACAATAATTAATGAAAACTGTAAAACTTAAGTAGGGCAAAAGTCAGAAGGATTATATAAGTTTTGATTTAATATTTTAATGCAACATTTGTTTTGTGATCTTGCCAATATGTTAGGCGATTTTTCTCATATGTCATACTATTTATTTTAAAACATAATTTCCTTGATTATTTTGCATTTKAAAAATAAATCTTCGTTATAATTTAATTTTCACGTACATAATATTACTTTCGATTATTATAATATAATAATATCATATAAAGAAGCGGTGAATAGATGGAATTAAACAGGACTTATAGAAACTAATAGGGATACGAAGTTGGGTAGAAAAAGTACAAAATCGAGATGAGTGGAAGGAAGTGGCGGTGGCGCAAAAACTYTTAAGAGATGTGATGCTAGCAATAAAGAAAAAAATAATATTTACTTTACTTATTTATTTAAAATCGTAAACTATGATCATGAAGTCTACACTTAAAGGTTCTTAATTAAGCATGAATACCTAGTATGATTGTTAATACTACACTTAAACATTTGATTGATTGAACCATATGCCCATATTCTTATTCTATTCACAAATATATTTTTTAAAAGCTACAAAGAATTCGTTAGGTTTATCGAGAATTCATGTCTGAATTTTTATTTGTACCAATAAYAAACTGTTTAAAATTTCCAACTATTATTTGGTTATTTGATTTGATCAACAAAACTACAATACTGTTTTGTACCTAGCAATAACATCGCTTATCGACAGTCAGTTACTAGATTTTGTGTAACAATTATCACTTTATTGTTGACACTCTATATACTATCTAGCCTCAAGCATCAACACAACAATAGTGTGTTTCAATTATTTTTTTCCTCATAATTAGAATGACTTTTTTAAAAACATTTTCTTCTAAATATAACTTTATTTCCGTCAGTTACATAACAATAAGGTTATAGTCTTGATTAMCAACCCAGATATACCTAATTCTCTAGTTAATTATTTTGTAATCGTTAGTTATTATTTTTATCAAGTTAAAAAAGTTAAATTTTTATTAAATAAATTTGAATGAAATATCAATTTATAATAATATAAAAAAAAAATTTGACACGTCAAATTTCATAAAACCAAATGTTATTTTCAACTTGATTGAATCGAATCCGGACGTATGCGCATTTGTACGGAATCTTCCGGGGCATATGTAGCGGTAAAGCCACGACTTGCAAACGCGGATGAATTTTTATTATAGCTCTYYCTCTAAATATAGTTGTTTAACACAGCTTATAATTTGGGATTAGGAAAGAGTACAAAACAATAGTAAAATCGATATCGAACTCGAGACGATCTACAGATTGACATAAAAAAAATTGGAATCACAAACGTATCAATAATAAACATATAGAAATCAGGGTTCAAATGATTCGAATTCAATATATTCTCAATGAAAAAAAAGTGGTAGGTCTATTAAATTGTTAAAATTTACAACAATCGCGTTAGCTGAGTTTCAGAACCATCCAGTTTACTAAACAACAATATCAATTATAAGATTTTATCAGTGGGGGGCGGGGGCGCTTCTTCAAGCACTTTGTATTATATTATTGTGTTTTAAATAGATAAGCCCGAGTCACGTTTACCTCTTAGTTGGTGCGCACCGCAGGTAAAGGACTTATGGTTGTTAAAGCAGATATTAGCTATGCTACTGTCTAGTTGCAGCAATATTCTATGACGGCAGTGACGGGGGTGGTTYTTGGGAAAACACGACAAAATATGGGAAAAAATTTCTTAAAAATTCACTTGGCGCCACTGCTATTTTACATCCCTCACAGGCTCTCCTCCCATATTATATATACATGATAGTGATATAGTATACAGACTGATACAACAGTGCTTCAGATACAATCGATACGGCTGCATCGCAACCTATTTATAGTCGATTATCAACGAATTATTGGTATAGGCACATGACGTTATTTTTATAAAATATAAATTCACAAATACTCACGTTGTATCCGTCGTCATATCATCGCACTCGGAAAAACAACGGCCGCGGCATCAGCGCAGTCGTATAATAATAGTCTTTCTCGTGTCGCCACATGTAAAAAAGTGTAATATTGTTGAATAAAGATCACGACGATATGTCGTCGGTATCCCGATCGGCAATGAGTACGARCTACGGAGTCGTCAATAAACTGAAACGGTGTTTTTATTTTCAACGATATTATTAATATTATTGTYGCAGAGTGCCTGCGGTGCGGCGTCAGTTGCGAACGTTTCCGCGACGAACGGGCGCTAACAACTGCAGCGCTCATCGTAACGACCGTAAAATCGTGTTTCGCGCAGACCGCGACGGCGACGGCGACGGCGACGACGACGACGACAACGGACGGTAGACAGTTCGGTGTAAGCCCCGCCAAAACACATGGTCGTGGAAAATAATATTATGAGGGTGCCTGATAAACAGCTGTGTTCCGTTTGAATTCGGGTCGATACGCCAGTGCCCAGGCCGGTTGAGTAACCGTGTTGGTACGATGATACAAGGTATTTGCATAGGTTTAAAACATAATAAATCATAACAATAATATGGACTGGTGATGGCGCGGTTCGCGGGCAAAAGGGTACAGAGTTTAGACGATATTTTTGGGTATTTCGATGGTCATAATGAGTCGGCGAGTCACCGTCGCTCGACGTCTTGTAGAAAACTGTGTTCTGTACGCGTGGCCAACCGCCAACCGCCAACCTACCGCAAAAATATGGAATATGTCAAATGACCTATATAATATGTGAGATATATTATTTGTTTCTTTTCTTGAAAAGTATAATATGAGTAATATGACTAAGCCGTAAAGTTAAGACTTAGTCGCATTCMACCGGCTGTTTGCACACGCGACCACGCTACATAATAATAATGTTAAGCATTTTATACAAGTACAGCGCGAATGAATTCATCGGAAATATGAACGATTCATTTTTACCTGATGCAGCTTACACTTTCATTAGTATATCGTAATTTTAATTTCAATRATGAGTACGTACATGTTATAAATTAACAAATAGCTCATCCTTATTGCACTTTATTTTTTTTTAAATACATACCTATGACCAACCATCATTTGAACGACCACTAAYTCAAATCGTAAATGTAGACTTTTAAGTTAACAAACCTAACAGTAACAAGTATCTGCGATCACTTATCATTAAATTATAATCATAAAAATGAGAGTACCTACTTATTAGTTATTATAAAAGAATTACACAGGCGTTCGTTATTCGTTATTTTTACCCTCATTCATCATTTAGAAGTAATTAAAATCATTATTTTGTTTTAAATAAATAATTAATTAATTTCTTATTGGCGTATTCTATAATAAAATTATTGTAGTCTTAAACAAKAGATAGAAATAAAGTTACAATAGGTACTAATTCGTACTATAGTGTGCTATGAAATAATCAAAACTATATTATATTAGAAATTAAGTTAAATACTATTAAGTATTTTAACAAATTAATATTTTTGTTTAATAAACCTAAATAATTTTGTAGTTACTAAAAAATCAAATATATAGTTTATAGTAAAGATCCTATCGATACAAATAAAAACATCGTTCCTAATAAATTAATATATACTGTTATGAAACCAAGGTTCCAACACAAATAAATTAATGCACGATTAGATTGTAACAACAATACGTATGTGTACGAACGTATGAAGAATTATTATGATCTTTATAGACTATTGGGCGTATCGCGTATAGCTAAAAATTTGAATGAATGAACAAAAATTTTAATTTAAAAGATACTTTTAATTTTATTGTTTTTTTTTTTTAAATGTATTATTTATAAGCCTTTCGTTTTTGATGAATTTAAACTTTAAAGTAAGCAGCTAATAATAATCGATTGAGGAATTGTTTAATTTATTCGAAAAAAAAATTMAGAAAATAATATTTAGAGCGGTTCTTTGTTTTAGAGTGGTTGGAACTTGGAATTAACTGTAATACACAGAACGCATCATGCATKAAATAATTTTAGTAGTTATAGTTCAAACGTTATACTTCTCAGTAGGCAGTAGGTCGGTTTATACGTTTGATATTTTAAATAATCAAAATGATAATTTTCAKAAAAATAYTATTCACAAAGCATTTTAAACGTTTAAAATATAGTATCAAAATTAACATTTAACCATTTAATCTTAATACTTATTACTTATTAGTGACTGATATATAAATATAATTGTCCATAATTAACTGATAACGTATTATTTTATTATTATTATAATTATTATTTATTATTTCATTGCTCTATTGCAATAGCATTATAGCAACTATATAGAAAGAAATAAGAGATGCRTATTACGATGATGATCACTTTAATTAACATTCTCTTAGTCTTAATAAATAGTAACGTAAGGCAGTTCAAACAGAGAATGCCATTTGACTCATTATTTTTGTTAAGTTAAATTAATTCATATAATTATCTGCAAGGTAATCATTAAATAAACTGTGCAAAATATACTATAAATTAAGTATAAAATATTCTAAAAGAAAATTAATAATTGATAAAAAAATATAACTTTAAATTTTGGTTATTTTTTGTGTACATACCTAATTTAACACAAATCATGAAAATTAAAACTTAAAATAGCATAATAATATCTAATATGTATACAATGAGCCTAAAAGTTCAGCAAAAAAAATGGCGATACACTGATGCCATTTGAAAGTTATTAAAATATTTAAGAAAAACATTGCATAATACAATTTATTATTATACAATACGCAAGAAAATCAAAGACTATTAAATATTTTACACATAATATGTCCGATAATACCGCTGGCAGCTAATGTGGTTATAGCACAGACTTCTATATAATACAGTATATAAATATATATATATATATATATATTATATAGAAGTCTGTGGGTTATAGCGACTATAGAGAATATTATTATTGGTAGCCAATGGGCAATGACTATTTTTGCTAATGCTCAAAACCGTTTCCGAGTATATATTATGTTAGCGGCTTAATGTAAACAAATCATTTAATTATGTATTTTCAGACGGCCCAATTATAACTGCAGTTTTAATCATTTTATGGTGGGAATAAGACGTTTACTTATATATACCTACAAGTTACAACTAATTTATTACAACCACACAACGGTTTAACTTTAAAAGGTAAAATTATTTTCATTAAAAACAAAGAAAAACGTATACCTATTGTTATTTTTTAGACGAATGTTTGGTTAATGTGTATAACATTTGTATTTTTAATKTGTGTGTAGGTAATATCTACGTTTTGTATTTATTAAATAATATATTAGAAGTTTAACATTTAATTAATCACCGCCCTTCTTAATTTGTTATATAATTTAATGTTATTTATTTAAAACTATTTTACATTTCTACAACTACATTATGTACCTACTGATGAGTTCAGACGAACCTCGACATTCCCATGGCACATCAAACTTACGAGAGCCATGACCATTAGACCCGTGCAACAGCTAGTGCGGATAATAATATTCTAAAAGGTAGGTCATACCTAGTTTTTTTTTTCTTCAATTTTTTGGAATGTCTCCGTAAAATTGTATGACTCGTGCTTATATTATAATATTTATATAATTATTAATATTATCATTTTATTTTCAATCAAAATTCACATTTCCCACTTTTAATCAATAAAAAATAAAAATTGATCTGGTCTATTTTACTCTTGAACTTGGGAAGTCATTGACGATTCTATAATGTCAATCATCTAAATCTCGCAATTACTGGTCTAAAGTCTTGCGAACGAAACAATTAATCAAATTTGGATATTTATAAGCAATAGGTAAAGCCTGGTATGATTTTAGTAAATTTTAGGAAAAATTCAAATAAATAATATATAATATATTTATAAAATTGTTTATATTCACTTATAAGAAAGTACAAGGTTATTATGTCTATTGTCTATAATAATGGTTTATTAATTAAATATAATTTTTAAACGTTTAGATAAAAGAACTATACAGACTACAGAGATTAGAGGAATATAAAGATGAAGGGTGATTTAAAACTAAATGTTTATCCTCTCCAGATTTCGTTCTACTTTTCAAAATAATAAATTGTTATATAGCTTTATTAATTAGCTTATAAACTAGTATAAATTATAATATAATATCTACCTACATCTATCTAAGTATCAACTTACTAAACAACATTTTAGCTAACTATTTTTAGCTAGGGTTTAGACGTACAAAAAATATATTGTATACTATTCTAGTTTAATCTACAAAGGTTTCCATTTAGAATTCCTAATTCTTATAGTTGGTGTCTCTAATATTTGTATGGCAATCTAGAGTCTATATCTACTTTTTTAATCTCGATTAATAAATTAATAATTACTTATGTCAATAATTTTCAAGTAAGGAAGTCAGTAGCTATATATATATATATATATATATTAGCTACTGTTACTGTCTTGATACAATAATTAAATTTGTTAATCGTGCCTTGCATAACCAACGATATGGAAATAGTTTGGGCCAGCTATATTTAAATTTTAATAACCGTATCCATATATAATTGGATATTATTTTAATAGATCCGATGACTTACTGCTGACGTCCAGACAACAACGGTGTAATTTCAAGTGCAAAGACTCGTATTAGTGCACTGTGAAGAACACAGCGGAGTCAATTTTTTTATTCCATTCGATAATTGATAGGGCATGTATCTATGAAAATATTTTTAAGTACCGTTTTATAAGTCACGACTGACGAGTGACGATTGATGTGAATAGTCGTATTTCATATCATTTTTAAGAATATCGTTGTGTTTTAAGTTTATGAAGTAACTGTTACAAAAAAATCACTAGCTACTAATACTAGTCAGTAGATATTATTTTGAATTTTAAATTTTCCGTTTCTTTTTTCTTAGTTAAAATAAAACGATTAGACAGTTTGTCGATAAATATTCAAACTTAGATTATGTTACTTTTTTAATAATATCTATCAAAGAGGGCATAGAAGTGATATTTTATCAATTTTATTTGATTAAGTACTATGTTATTGCAGTATTTTATCCATGTAKCAATGTAGCATATATATTGCAGTACCTAAGCGTTTTGGTAACTTTCAGAATTACGCTGCGTGTCCAATTTGTCATGAATATTCTTAGGTATTGATGTATTCAGACAAGTCTGCAGCTATAATTTATCTATAATTGAATTTTGAAATCATTTTAAATGTTATTAGTTATTACTTATTASTATAAAMATGTTGMTTTTATATAAATATATTTTTTTTAATTATTAACGAGTTACGTATAAGATATAAAATTTACAACACCGAGTGTAAATATTATCGATATAGGTACTAG